TAGCAATTTCGTTTTAAAGAAAATCATCACCAAAAAGTTATTCCTATACCCTAGGTTAATGTAGTTCACGCTGAATAAATCCTTAATTGTTATTTACATACAAAATTTGACCTTGCAGATTCTAGATAAATAGAATATTTCTGTTAGTTTGATATTGTTTTAATGTAAATATTTCAATATTGTCTTAACATAGTTTAATTATGTTTCATTCAAAATACGTTCGCGTTTTAATTAAGTAATATTTCGATTCCCTTAGGATTGAATATAGTATTAAGGTTCAATTTTCAAAGAAAAACATATAAGGAAAAGTAACGTGAAATATACTATGATAGATCAAATAAGGAATAAATAAAAAAATTAGTTGATTTTATGCCTTAGATATTTTACCTAGTTCAAGTAAGAAAATATTTTATAATCTAAATTTTAGTTGATTCAAAATACTAAATATTAGGAAATATACTTTAAATTACAATTTTGTCCAATGTGAAATATTTTTAACATAGATAGATAGATAGATGTATGTCTTACATTATAGGTGATTTTTATTTTTGATATTATAAATTTTTTGTCTCTAGTATATCAATTAATTTAGAACGAAGATATGTCTAACCGGGCTGACAAATTACCTAGTTATACCTATAAAAGAAGCCATTGTATCACATTAAAAATTATAAACTTTTTAGGGATTATTGCACATAAATTGAAGTATATCGCCGTAGAAAAGTATTACTATTAGTTTTCTTTATTTTTCCCGTTGAATTTAGAGGTCATTGTGCTTTGTTTTCGGAATTGGGGTCGTTTGGTTTGAATACGTCTTATACCGGAATAAGTTATATTGGTATAAGTTATGCTGGAACTATTTTTTATCCATTATTTTGTATGATGTATTAAATATGATAATTGCATAATTTTTGTAAGAATAATGTATAAGTTATACTGGTGCTAATTACCCAAGCTCTATAAGGTATAAGTTATTCCGATGTTAATTTTAATCCTGGGATAACTTATACCTGATTTGCTAACCAAACAAAGTATTAAATTTTTATACCTTCTTATACCTGATACCAAACGACCCCTTGAGTACGTAACAGGCTGTAACTTGGAACCCCAACAATAGGACATATATTAAGAATATTTATTGTTTTTTTTCCAAAATAGAATCGAATTGAAGTCGGTTGGGTCCCACCAAGAGCAGGTTATATATATGGTGACAAAGGAACTCGTCATCTTCCTTATTAATAAAATCCTAATTCACTACGGAATGGGAGTTTTAGCCTAACCTAACAAGGTTTCGGAGCACAATGGCGATCTTCTTCTTTTTAATAGCAGCCTTACCAATCTCAATCTCAATTTCATATTCACATCAAAACACAACTTTTGAAACAAGTTTCTCTCTTTTAAGGTGAGATTTTCATATTGCGAATGTATAATCAAGGATCAATTTTGTGTATTATGGTGTTTGGGTAGTAAATAGTATTTATTTGGAATAACAACTTGTTTGGGTGATTGTCATGTATCATATTGTTACTTTAACTATAATATTTGTTTTGATTGTTATCTATATTCTATTGTGTCGTATCCTGATCGATTTGGTTTGCTTTGTTCTCTCGTCTTGCCCGCTTATATTCCGTTTTACATAATAATTCTATCATGTATCCTACTTGCAAGTTTATTCTTCGTATTGCTGGTGTTTTACATCATGAAACGATGGCTTACAGACGATGCAATCTATCTAAACGTTGTATTCATCAAAATAAGAGAATCAACATGTTGACAATCATCCAAACAAGCTGTAAGATTGTTTCGGGGAAAATTCATGTCCGGGCAAAGTGTGTGCAATTGTATTTTATGCTTGTATATTTATCTATGTTTTCTCTTTCTTTGTAGAATCAATGTTTCCTAGTCTGAATCAAAAGATATACTAATCTTGGTTCTTGCATACAGGATTGAGCAATTTATTCTGAATGTTGAAGAAGATGGAGACAATGGAGCAGGATTTAAGAAAGCTGGATGTGGCGAAACTACATGCACTTTCACCTGAAATTATATCCAGGCAGCCTACAATCAACATTGGTAATTTTTATTATAACCCCATTCTTGTTTTCCTGGACAAGTTAATCATGGACTAATAAACTTTTGTTAGGCCTCATTGGCCATGTAGCGCATGGCAAAACCACTGTTGTCAGGGCAATCTCTGGTATCCAGGTACCCTTAATTACTCTTTTGTCTGTAGCCCTTTGAACACTTATTGTTATGTTTGGCCGTTGAAAAAGTGATATCTGTTTAACTTGCTTTTATGGAACTCTTACTTTTTTTTGTTGTTTATGCCATCCAATTATCAGACTACTCGATTCAAATGTGAACTGGAGCGTAACATAACTGTGAAACTTGGATACGCAAATGCAAAGATATACAAATGTGAGGATGAAACTTGCCCGCGACCTTTATGCTTCAAGTACGTATGTTAAGTATGAACTATTTGTTCCGATGCTTTCTTGAAGAATATATTGTTAATCTCTACCTAATTTTTAGGTCATATGGAAGTGGTAAAGTAGATAATCCTCCATGCGATGTTCCTGGATTCAACAACTGCAAGATGAAACTGCTCAGACATATTTCTTTCGTAGATTGCCCGGTATGGCTACTTCATTCATTGGAAACTTAAAACATTGTTGCACATGGAGACAAGCCAGTAGAATTTTTTCTTTGCATTGCTACAGAATTCTTATAAAAATGCTTTCTCTGAATTTTGGCAACATAATTTAGGATTGATCACATAGGATCCCCGCCTTGAAATTGTTTTCCTTTTTTTATTTCTATTTTTATTTTATAGTCACACTGCATTTTTATCTTTCTAGAAGTTGGTATGTTTGGGATCATAGGTGATAAATCAATTTTTTCACTACTTGAAACATGGCAAAGTATCTGTAGTTTTTGCCACATATATTTCCTCAAAATTTTGGTTGTCCCATTAATCTATGAGTATGAGTGACATTACTACATTGTAACTATATTTAGCTTTGGCTGCTTTGTTATGACTTGGTGTAGGGGCATGAGATACTGATGACTAGAATGCTGAGCGGGGCAACAATTATGGACGGAGCTTTCCTTCTAATAGCTGCCAATGAAAGTTGTCCTCAGCCCCAGACTCTAGAGCATTTGTCTGCTCTTGACATCTTGAAGCTCCAAAACCTAATCATTCTTCAGAACAAAGTTGACACCATACAGCAGGATCAAGCTAGAAATCAGTATAAAGCAATCCGTGAATTTCTCAAGGTTAGTCTTTCCAAAAAGTTTTGCAAGTTGATTACCTAGTATTTTAAACATTTTGCTAAAGAAGAAATTCATCTTATGCCTTTCAGGGAACAGTTGCAGAAGGTGCACCAGTTGTACCTATTTCCGCGCAGCTTAATTACAATATTGATGCTGTTTGTGAATATATTGCAAGGATTCCCATTCCTAAGAGAGATTTTGTATCACCTCCCCGTATGGTTGTGATTCGATCATTCGATGTGAATAAGCCTGGTTGTGGGATTGATGACATGAAGGGTGGTGTTGTAGGTGGAAGTATTATTAAGGTATATATATTCCTGTTGTGTGGGTTTGATGCAAATTGTTCTCATAACTGTTATTACTACAAAGAACATCTTTTAATTAACGTGTCTACATGTATCGGATGAAAGTTGTCTTTTGACAATTCCCACTGCTCAATTTGTTGGTAACCAAGTATGGTATTTAAATCTAAGTTTAACCTTTAAATTCTTTATTATGCCTAAACGTATATATCATTGTTCTCAGGGTGTTTTAAAAGTAAATCAGATGGTCGAGCTTCGTCCAGGCATCCTTGACAAAACTGCAGATGGAAAAATCATCTGTAGACCAATATATTCCAGAGTGATGTCATTATTTGCAGAACAGAATAAGCTTCAGTATGCTGTGCCAGGAGGCCTTATTGGGGTTGGCACATCAATGGATCCTTCCCTATCACGCAGCGATATGCTTGTTGGTCAAGTCCTTGGAGACGTTGGTACACTCCCTGAAGTCTATATTGAACTTAAGGTTAGCACGTATTCTTTAGCCCCTTTTAGCTTTTGTTGTAATATCTTTTATTGCTCACCAAATCATGCCAGCCATTTATAGTTCCTCCTGATACATTTGACCATTTATTTTTTGGCCAAATCACTAGGAATATATGTGGTACACTAAATCCACTTATCATCTTTTATCTGCAGATCAGGAAAATTAAACTGATGCGTCGGCTTGTAGGGGTTGAGAAAAAAGAGTCAGAAAAGCAGGTGTCGAATCTGGTGAAGGGTGAAATACTAATGCTGAATATATTGTCCATGGCTACTGGGGCTCAAGTCATAAAAGCGAGAAATAACAGCGCGAAATTGCAACTAACTGCACCTGTATGCACTGGCATAGGCGAGAAGGTGGTGCTCAGTCGTCGAGTTGGTGGCCACTGGCGTCTCATTGGGTGGGGTGAGATTGAAGACGGAGTGGCACTAGATGTGCCACCCACACCTGCAGATATTGTGTGAACTTGGTTCTTTCTATTTTATGAATGGCTTTTACTATGAGTGTTTCTTTTTAGCTTTAAATTTGTTCCTACGGATTTGTATTGTCGACGCGAATTAGCTTGCTTCTAAGGTTGAGCAGTCTCTCTTTTTAGAGCAATTGTAAGGCACCCTAGTACAAATTGTAAGGCACCCATTACAATTCAAGCAAACAGCAACATGAATATGTCGCATGACTACCAAGTTTAAGATATTAATTTAGTTCCTACTTATATATTAGTGTTAATTAGTGAGGAACATATTATACATCAAAACGATTTCTTTGGCCGAGTAAACTAATTTTATTTTCTCCTTTTTAAGCTAAACTAGTCGCAGGGCAAGCGTTTTACGCGTGGATCTTATACCAATGAGTATACAAGTTTTTAAGAATTACATAAATATTATTATGAAATAATGTATTTATGCTATAAAATACACATTAAAGAGGAAATTAAGCTTCTCTGCCATGGGAGTAATCCATGCTCTCCACACCGCCTTTGGCATTTTAGGTAGGACTTTCATTTTCTTGTATTTTTCTTTGTTTAATTTCTTGGATGTTGTCCATGATAGTTATCATGAGGTTTTTAATTTATATATCCTTTCTTCTTGGGCCAGGAATTTTAAATAGTTTGTTACTCCTCTTGGCGCCTATGTAAGCTTGAATTTCCACTTTTACTGTCTGTGTTTGTGGTTTTTTTTTTTTTCTCTCACGCTCTTTTTCCCGTTACTGATTTTGGTGCTTTTTGATAATTTATTTACTAATTTCTGATGATGGTATAGGATTACCTTTCAGAGGGTGATTAGAAAGAGATCGACTGAAATTTTTTCAGGCATACCATATGTTATTAGTCTGTTCAACTGCTTGTTCTCAATGTGGTATGTTCTTTAACATTCATTTTATACATTACGTACATTGTGCAACTTCACTTGAAAAATGGTCGACCTGACCTTTCAAAACGGAACAGGATATAATACACATATTTATTAATTAAACTAAGAGTCAATTACTCAAATGGTCACCCAAAAGTATAAGTTCCAAGAATGATAATGTTGATTTATTTAGGTAGCTCAATATAGGAAGAAATTTTGCGCCAGATGTCTTATTTTGATTTTTCAGAACCTTTGTCGGGATATTTATGAAAAATTATTGTTATTTTTATGACCTAATAATACTAAAAGATTATCTATTTATACTTTCAATAAATATTTACTTTAGAAAATATTCTATTAATGACAATCATAACTCGAAAAATAATATTCACAATAGAGAATATAAGAGAGAAGGTGAAACTTAAGAACATACTTATAATAGTAATCTAAAAATTAATAATAAATTTTGTAACAAATTCATAAAAGAATTATTTTACTTATAATTTTAACGACTTTAATTTTAATCTGTAATAAAATATAATATAATTATTATAGATAAATCATCTAAGTGAAAAAATAAAATATTATTCAAAATATTACATAGAGAGATGGATTTTTTTTTTTACATAAAGATAGGGATTGAAAATGTCGATGGCAAAATAGATTCGATTTTGCATATGACAAGAGGGGAAGAATGTTTTATTTTCAAAGTTAGAGTGAGACTTTAATTCTTAAAGCAAAATTGAAGAGTGTAAATGTGTTTAACTCTTTTATATTTTGAAATCTTTATTCGTGTTCTTTTCCGTTTTTATTGGACAGCTTCTTCTTGCTTTAATGCTTATTGTATACGGTAAAAACTTACTCGCACCGAGTGTTTACACCAAACCAATAGATATATGACATGTGTGTTGCATATGGACTTCAATCATGTCACGACCCAATTCCGTAACAGGTCATGATGGCGCCCAACGCCTTTGTTGGGCAAGCCAATGCGGAAAATACTAGCTAACTTTCGGTCACCTTTACCCCAAGCAGTTAAAAATAATTCTTTAAATTGGAATAATTCAGAAACGATGAATAGAAATTATGAAAATTATACAACCCCAAAATAATACAGTCTACTAATGTGTGTGTGCCAAGACCTGGTGTCACAAGCATGGGCAACTAGTAGAATATACAAAAGAATCACACTATCCTACTGTCCGAAACAGAATAGACATCAAAAGTACAAAAAGGAAGACTTCTTCAGGCTGCTGAACGACATGGAGGAGGAGCAGCTCACCGTGGAAGTCTCGAAATCCGCTCAGAGATGCGCACCCGACTGATAGCCAGATGTACCTGCCTCAGACCCTGTACAATTAAGTACAGAAGTGTAGTATGAGTACATAAACAATATGTACCCAGTAAGTATCCCGTCTAATGTCGAAGAAGTAGAGACGAGAGGTCGACTTGATACTCACTAGGGTCAAATAATGTGAGAAGAATTTATAAATGGCATGGATAGCACAAGTAAATAGCATTTAAAAAGATCATGGCATAACAGTTCTTCCCCAAGTACTTTCATGGATAGTCACCTATATTTCAAGCAGGTATGAAATCCAGTCCTCAGAGAAATGTCACACCTCCTTTTATAACACAATATAAAGGGAGTTATTTCCAACTTGAAGTGACAATCGGAACGGGATCTATTATTAAGATTTCAGAGTCGCCACTTGGGAAATTAATGGTGTCCCAAGTCACCGATTAAGTCCCGATCCGAGGAAATTATGACTCTGTTAGCAGTCTGCGAACCAGAACTCCGAGTAAGGAATTCTGTTAACCCGGGAGAAGGTATTAGGCATTCCCGGGTTCCGTGATTCTAGCACGGTCGCTCAACTGTTGTATTTGCTTTTATCTGATTCCGAAACATGTTCTAACTCATGTGCTTTTATTAGTAAATCACTTTTATTATTTTTTATGAGAATTGCAACGCCGTGAAAATGCATCTCGAACCACGTCGCACCAGTGCACCCGTGATTGTTAACACACTTTGACTACGTTGAGATTTGGATTTGGGTCACATAAATGTGCACCCGAATTCAGGAAAGTGATATTATTAAAGTACGCACCTAAAGCCACTACGCGTTTTTTATTGTTTTGGGGGAAGGTCGTGAAATTCGCTAAACGACCTATCCCGAAGTTTAAATATTTAACTTAAGCATTTGTCAAGGGACCCGCGATTTATTTGCTTAGCGACCTTGAGAAACTTGAGAAACACTATTAAGTATTCTACTAACAAGAGAAGGCCCCAATCAATTAGTATGTCCATGTATTATTGCCAAGATACTCACATAGGTGTTGAACTAAAACAAAATACCCAAGGAAGCGTTCGAATTTGTGGGCCTTAAAGCAGGCCCTTACGAGAATTCAGGTCTTAAAACAGACCTTAAATGTTCAATAAATAGTTGCTGTCCAGACATGGGCCTTGTAGTAAGCCCAATAAGGAGACATTGCTAATTGCAAGATCAGCCTAGCCTGGAGACAAGCCCGACCTAGTATCCTTGTCATAGTTGGGCTTGTTTGTTTGGCCCAGACTTGGGCACAAAGACACTACTTTAAACCTGGGCCTGTGTAGACGAGCCGAAGCTCAAATTGTGAAAACTCAGCCACTGGCCTTAAGTCATACGAAAACAACATCAATTAAATGTGAGACATGCTGAATCTACACTCAATAACTTGCAACTAATTCGTAGCATCTTGTTTTAATTATAGTTTGGGCCCAGGCTTGTAGATAATCGCAGGTCTTTGGTATTTCTAATGCGTGGATCCTATTTCAAACTAACAGATTCCAAAGAGCTAATTTGACACTTATCATTGGCCGGTTTTAAAATACTATTTCGAACTCTACTGGCCTACCAACATGAATCATCACGAAAGGTTACAACCAAGTAATATGAATGTTCATAGCTTTTACAGTTCATACAAATTTCAGCTCAAACTAAACAGTCCAATCATGTCATTAACCGCAGAAGGTAAACATTAGATTCTAGCATGTGAATTGCTTTAATCAGAATAAAACTCATTGCATAGTCCATGTGTACAGTCCAGTTATACAGTCCAGGGTTTACAATGAAGCTTAACAAATGCAAACCCATGAGTATTTATCCTAGCAAGACAACTTGAACACACACATCTCAAGAGGTAAACCATGAGCCTTCATTTCAATGTTCCAACTCAACTATACATCAAGTCAGTCTCGAGAATATGTACCTGGAAATAAAATAGAAATGGAGGAGGAGAGGTCAGCTAAGGCAGTAATGAACAGCAGCCCAAATCCAAAGCAACTAGATCACTTTCAGATCCAAAAATACCACAGCAAACCCAGGAGACTAGCAGCAGATTAAACACCAAAAGCAGGTGAAAACCAGATATGATTGGATCAAAATACACTCGAAATCAACCCAAAAATCCCTGAACTTGAACCAAACAAGGTCTAGAAGATACTCAAACCATTCTTAACCTTCTGTTGCACTGAAATTTGATCTACAAATGAAATTCAAACTTGATCTGAGAGAGAGTCAATAGAACAGTACCTATTTTTTGGATTTTTCTACTGTTTTTGTTTATGGTTTTTGAATTATATTTGTTTTTGAATTTCAGACTTCAAATCTGTCAATGCTTTGGGGGGGGGGGTCAATTTTAGGCCTCTCAAAACTTGTGAATCAAGGCAAATGAATGCCTATTTATAGGTGAACTTAGGTCCAATTTCAGATTTTTCCCTTTACCCCTTAGTCCCTATTCTAATTTCAGTGTTTCCCCCTTATTTTCTGACTTGTTACACAAGCAACTAACTTAAGTTTATTAGAACCTACACTATGGTCCCCCCTAGAAGGTTCTATGCCTATTACAATCCCTACTTTACCCTTACCCCTTTTCCAAAATTACCAAATCTGCTGAAAGTACCCTTTTCCTGTGCCTAAACTACCCTTTGAACCTCCTGAAATTACTAACCTACATTAACTACACCACACTTTCTAACTGACCCCGGTTCAAATAAATATTAACCAGCCCCCAATCCAATCCTAAATTCAAATAACTTCTGATTTTTGGATTAACAACTACTAATAACAAGTCAAAGTAAAACAGTACTCAAATAGCATTGATCAAAACTGTGAGCAAACATATTCGACACACACAACTAATAGAACAAACTTATTCATGAAGCCTGGAGAAGATTTAAGCAACTCAAAACCTAAACTAAATCCTAAGCATGATTAATCCTAATCCTAAAGAATTCAGTCACAACTAAATTGACAAACGACCCAATTATTAATTAACAGACAATGAAGAATAACAAATAAGAAACATGCTAATCTATTTGACCACTGGTTCAACCAAAAAATGAGGAGAAATAAACTCAAACCCTAAATTGATTGCTCAAAAGGAAGTATCAGTCAAGAGGAAAAGACTAACGAAGGAGGACGAGGAAAACTTACTTAGCTTGAGCACTTGACTGACTATGGGGTGAGCTCTGACCGGTCATTTGTTTGAATCCTCCGGGATTCTTGACGCGTAACATCCCTAATCGTGTGTTTTCCAAAAGAACACACATGATTAGGGAAGTTATGGTCGAAAATCCCCAAGATTTTCAAATTTAGGGTTCTGCCGGATTTTGATCGGATATTTGGGCAATTCTGGCCATATTTGAGATACGTGGCTATGGGGGTTGGATAGAGGAGGTCAAGGCGGTCCCATGGTGTTAATTTGGGACCGTTTGGCATAACCGGCGACTTGGCCGGAAAACTTCGAACGGATATTTGACGAGTTCTGGTAAGATTTGAGGGCAACGGACAGTGGATTCAGGTAAAGGAAGGGAAGGGGAATCTGGGGTGTAATTTTGGTGGTCATCGGAGCATCGCCGCCGGCGGCGACGATTTCCGGACGGCGGCGGACGGCGGAGGGACGGTGGCAGATGGTGGGGCTAGGGCGGAGGAGGGTGGTGGTAACGCCGGCGTT